TGCTCAGTCACAATCAAGATTGGGGAGGGAGGGTACCTATGGTCCTAAGAGATTTATCTCTTAAAAGTTCTGAGTCTGCACTTGACATTGACAATACCTGGATAAGCCGGAGGAAATGGGTTAGTGTTTAATACATCAAAAAAGACATCATTTCCTTATGCTGCAAAGCAGTGCTCCAGGAGCAGCAGTGCTGCATTAACAAAGGAAAAACAGAAGGAACTTAGTGCCTCTCCTTTAACTCAGTAGGTGCTGTGAGGTTGTATTGCATACAAACTAAGAAAATGGGCTTTTGCAGTCAGAGATCACAGGACTAAATCCAAAATCTGCTATTTTATCATTAGTGACTCTTTAGGACCACATTTTCTCCAATTAGAAAATAGAGATGATACCGCACTCATTGGGTTTTCATGAAAATAAAGTAGAAGATTTTATATGTAATACACATAAAAATATGGGAAATAGTATGAGTTCAACATGTGAGAGCTATTATGCTTGGCGAGGATATGAAACCCTTAAGAAAAAAAAAACAAGGCTTTCAGAATGCACACTGCTATTCTATCCCTGGTTCTCACTAGAGACATTACAACTGCTCAAATGATCCAAACAAACTGAGATAAAAATTGGCTTAATTATAAGAACTCTGTGGTCATCTTTAACAGTAGGCAGTGATAAGGGACCATGCTGATTACATTATGATTTACTATTGGCAAATGTGGGCAATAATTTATCTTTAACATGATAATTTTAAAAGAAGTCATTCTGACCAATCTGAACATTCCATGCCATCCTCAAAAACTAGAAACATGGTTTCCCTGTCAGCTTGAAGAATGCTCAAATGGCTAAAAATTTTAGGTATGTTACCCCACGAGTTCTCATGTTCCCATAGAAGATGGCTCACTTGTAACATAGGGTGCTAACCATTCCCAACATTACTGTATTAAGAGACTGGTGTTGGTCATGGATCCTTTTCCTGTAGGTATGCTTACAAAAATTATATTTAAAATGTTCTTGGCTCCTTTACTGCAAGGGAAAAACATACCTTATAAAGAGGCATGAAAAATAGTTTCTGCTAATGAGAAATAGTTTTTCATCCTGTGAAAATATTGTCTCCTCCCTCATGCTTACTGTACAAACTAATGTAAGTTTTAACACATAAACACATTAATATTGATGAGAAATTAAATGTACTTATTCCACTTAGCCTCACTTAACCTATTCTTTCAGAGTGTAACTATGGATCACCCAGGTTTGCATTGCAAAAGTTGCTTCTTTTGTTAGTATTTTATATTACTTCCATTCAAAATATACAAGGAGTAGCTCACGTAAAGACCTCTGGCTATATGGTTAATATAATGAACAAAATGTCTAAAATAACATATTGAAAGAGTATTTCTGGGGTGAAATAAAGCCATTTCAGCATCATTTTCAGCATCATTTTTTAATTACCCTTAAAGAGATTTGAATTTGTCAGTAAATCTAGATGTCTTTGAGGGAAAGAGAAAATGGTGCATATGTAGGAATGGCTGGTTAATATGAGTGATTCTCCATAGAAAAAAAGGCTTAGTATATGGATGGTAATGAAGGTCAAAGTGCACGCCTAACTAGAATGAACCAAATGAGGAAGGACTGACTCCCCTTCCAATCCTATTTTCAATAACTTATATCTATATACTGAGTAGTAATAATAGTATACCTTGTCCAAGAGAAGCTCACAGTCCTGAGGAATAATGACTTCAATATTTTTTGATACAATCAACCTACTTGTCCTCTGATTATCAAGAGATTGACCTGGAAACATTCCAATAAAGACAAAAAATATTATGTAAATGAAGTGATAGAAACTAGTTATAGGAGAGTATCAGATAGTGCCATTTAGATCATAAGTAGGTTCAAAAATTCTTCTGGGACATCATTCATATCAGGCTATAGTGTGTGGGCACTGCTAAGAGCTTCCAGTTACAGAGTGGACAGCAAGCCAGACAGCTAACCCAGAAATATAATAAGGAGTAAGATCCTGGAAATACAGTCCCTCCATACTCCCATAAAAATGCTGTGGACTAGGAATCTCCAGTTTCCTGAAGTGGAACAAATACAATGTTCTGAGAAGATACAAAATCTAGCAAAGAAAATGGATCCCTCACCATTTCATCAAAGGTCAATGATGATGGAGATTGAGTAATGTAAAAACTGTTGACATTGAGTAAATAAGTATTTTTGGGTCATGCCTTAGCCAAAGATGTGGTAAAAGCACATACACCTAGAGCACCTGGCCCCGATGGCTCTTAAATATAGCTCAAGAAAGACACAACTCATGCACAGGGAACTTCAAGGGCCAGTATGTTAATAAGTAAATAAATGAATGAATAAATAAATAAATAAATAAGATAAAACAAAACAAAACAAAATAATAAAATCCCTTGAAAGCTCTTAAGCCAACCTGTTTGTTTTGTTTTCTTTTGTTTGTATAACCCCCCCAAAAAAACATGCATTCTTTGACATTCAGTTTCTTTTTTGTAAGATTCCTAGCACTAGATAAACAGACTCTATCCTCCACAGATCTCTTACCAAGTTACCGCCAGTGGAACCATATGTACTTGTTGTCCACAGTCTAGGCTAGATTTCACATTGGTCTTGTTGTACCCCTCTCCACTATTTTCATGGCATGTGGGATCTCATACCAAAGAGTTAGATGCTGAGGAAAAAGGATATTTAGGCAGAAACAGCTCATAAACAAGAAAAAAGATGGCCTCTGAATCTAGGTGCTATGACTTTAAGTTAATCAGATAGTGGCATACCTGGGGACCAAAAAGAAAGACTTGGCTCTTATTGTGACCAAGGGAATTAAGTAAGCAGCATCACTAAGTCAAAGAAGGATATTCACCCAAACTTTATGGTATAGGAAGATATAGATTATGAAAGGAATGGAGTAAATAGAGCCCCAAAATGACAGAATGCTGAAGTGAACTCACAATAGGGAGTTTAGATGAAAATATGTCTACAGTCAGAGCTCTAAAATCTCCTTGACCTTTAATGTACTTTTTCTTCAGTTTAAATCAGATACCTGTTTTTTTATCGTTCTTTATTTTACTTGTATTAAGTTTTAGATTTTAATTCCCATATAGTTAACATACAGTCTTATGTTAATTTCAGGTGTATAATATGGATTCAACAATTTTATACATAAGTCAGTGCTCATTGCAGTAAGTGTACTCTTTGATCCCCATCACCTATTTGGGTGAAATAGGTGATGAGGATCACCCATTCCCTAAACTCCCTCTCCTCTGGTAACCATCAGTTTGTTGTCTATAGTTAAGAGTCTGTTTCTTGGTTTCTTTCTCTCTCTCTCTCTCTTTTCCCCTTTATTTGTTTTGTTTCTTAAATTCCACACATGAGTGAAATCATATGGTATTTGTCTTTCTCTGATGGACTTATTTTGCTGAGCATTATATTCTCTGGCTCCATCCATATTGTTGCAAATGGCAATATTTCATTCTTTACTATGGTTGAATAATATTCCATTACACACACACACACACACATACACACACACGCCACATCTTCTTTACACATTTATCTATTGATGGACACTTGGGCTGCTCCCATAATTTGGCTATTGTAAATAATGCCACAATACACACAGGGGTGCATATATCCCTTTGAATTAATGTTTTAGTATTCTCTGGGTAATACCCAAATACTGGGTAAATACACAGTAGTGGGACTACCGGATCATAGGGTAGTTTTATATTTAATTTTTTGAGGAACCATCATGCTGTTATCCACAATGAGTGCACCAGCTTGCATTCCCACCAATAGTGCACAAGGGTTCCTTTTTCTCCACATCCTTGTCAACACTTGTTGTTTCTTGTGTTTTTGAGTTTAGTCATTCTGACAGGTATGAGGTGATCTCATTGTAGTTTTTATTTGCATTTCCCTGATAATGAGTGATATCGAATACCTTTTCATGTGTCTGTTGACCATCTGGATGTCTTCTTTGGAGAAATGTCTGTTCATGTCTTCTGCCCATTTTTTAACTAGATTATTTGGGAGTTTTTTGGTATTGAGTTATATAAGTTTTTTATATATTTTGGATACTAACCCTTTATTGGCTATGTCATTTGCAACTATCTTCTCCCATTCAGTAGGTTGTCTTTTACTTTTGTTGATTGTTTCCTTCCCTGTGTAGAAGCTTTTCATTTTGATGTAATCCCAATAGTTTACTTTTGGTTTTACTTCTCTTGCCTCAGGAGATAAATCCAGAAAAATGTTGGTATAGATGATGCCAGAGAAATTACTGCCTATGCTCTCTCTTCTAGGGTTTTTATGGTTTCAAGTCTCACATTTAGATCTTTAATCCACTTGGAATTTATTTTTGTGAATGGTGTAAGAATGTGGTCCAGTTTCATTCTTTTGCGTGTAGCTGTCTGTTTTTTCCAACACCAAGACTAATGAACTTTAAAATGACTTATTATATCCTTAGTAGTTTGTATTGCCATGAACACTTTGGATATAAGGTATCATAGGATAACTTGTTAGGGTAGAATTTCCTTCCCTAGTTGCCCCTACATTCACTTCCAAACTCTGAGAGGCAGTTTAATTATCCTTTTCTGAAGATCTGGGTAACACTCAAACTGCCACTAGAGGGCACAGCTAGGACATCTGACAGCTGTCTTTATTCCTGGGGCTGAAGTCAGAATTGTTATCAAGAAGAGTCCCTGAGATCTTTGAAAAAGAAGATGGTCCAGAAAACTTTGTAGTCACTGCTGACTGACACAGCCCCTGGGAGCCACCTCTTCTGTGAGCTGAAGAGACCAGGAAGAAGCTGCTGTTGCTCAATGAACTACTATAGAAGTCATCACCAACTAAAGAAGCTCTTGTACATCTTCAGTTTCTAACAGATAGTGTGTTCAGGATTAAGTCACTTACATTTATTTGTTTGGAAAGAGTCTAGGTCAGTGCACCCTATTTCTACATCTCTAGCCCCATCTTGGTACTCTTACCTTTGACCTCAGAGTTCTGATCATATCTGATAGCAGTTTTTACATGTTCTCTTTCATCCAACTTCAGGACCTTTGCACAAGCTGCCTCCCCACCCTTGGAATCCTTAGAATTCATTCCAATTTGCCTAGTTAAATCCTACTCATTTTATTTTATTTTTATAAATAATTTATTGTCAAGTTGGTTTACATATAACACCCAGTGGTCATCCCCACAAGTGCCCTCCTCCATGCCCATCATCCCCCTTCCTCTTTCCCCCACCCCCATCAGCCCTCAGTTTGTTCTCAACATTCAAGAGTCTCTCATGGTTTGCCTCCCTCCCTCTCCCCCACTATTTTTCCCCTTCTTCTCTCTCATGGTCCTCCATTAGCTTCCATCTAATCCACCTATATGTGCAAACATATGGTATCTGTCCTTCTCTACCTGACTTATTTCACTCAGCATAACACTCTCTAGTTCCATCCATGTTGCTACACATGGCCAGATTTCATTCTTTCTCATTGCCATGTAGTATTCCATTGTATATATATACCACATCTTCTTGATCCATTCATCAGTTGATGGACACTTAGGTTCTTTCCATGTTTTGGCTATTGTTGATAGTGCTGCTATGAACATTGAGGTACATGTGCCCATATGCATCACCACTCCTGTATCCCCTAGGTAAATCCCTAGCAGTGCTATGCTGGGTCATAAGAGAATTCTATTGTTAATTTTTTTAGGAATCTCAATACTGTTTTCCAGAAGGGTTGCACCAGCTTACATTCCCACTAACAGTGTAGAAGGGTGCCCATTTTTCCACCCCCTCGCCAGCAGCTACAATCTCCTGATTTGTTCATTTTAGCCACTCTGACTGGGGTAAGGTGGTATCTCAGTGTGGTTTTGATTTGTATTTCCCTGATGGTGAGGGGTGCTGAGCATCGTTTCATGTGTCTTTTGTCCATCTGGATGTCCTCTTTGGAGATGTGTCTGTTCATGTCTTCTGCCCATGTCTTCACTGGATTATTTGTTTTTCAAGTGAGAAATTGCTGCAGTTGAGGTCAAGGAGGTTGTTTCCTGCTTTCTCTTCTAAGGTTTTAATGGTTTCCTGTCTCGCATTCAGGTCCTTTATCTATTTTGAGTTTATTTTGGTATATGGTGTAAGAAAATGATCTAGTTTCATTCTTCTGCATGTTGTCCAGTTCTCCCAGCACCATCTGGTAAAGAAGCTGTCTTTTTTTTTCCATTGGATATTCTTTCACACGTTGTCAAAGATTAGTTGGCCATACATTTGTGGGTCCAATTCTGAGTTCTCTATTCTATTCCATTGGTCTAGGTGTCTGTTTTTGTGCCAATACCATACTGTCTTGATTACAGCTTTGTAGTAGAGGCTGAAGTCTGGGATTATAATCTCTCCCGTTTTGGTTTTCTACTTCAATATTACTGTGGCTATTCAGGGTCTTTTGTGGTTCCATACAAATTTTAGGATGCTTTGTTCTAGCTTTGAGAAGAATGCTGGTGCTATTTTGATTGGGATTGCACTGAAGGTGTAGATTGCTTTGGGTAGTAATGACATTTTAACTATATTTATTCTTCCTATCCATGAGCATGGAATGTTTGTCCATTTTTTTGTCTTCTTCAATTTCCTTCATAAGTTTTCTATAATTTTCATCATACAGATCTCCTATGTCTTTGGTTAGGTTTATTCCTAGGTATTTTATGTTTTGTTTTTTTTGTGTGTGCAATTGTGAATAGGATCAGTTTCTTGATTTCTCTTTCTGTTGCTTCATTATTGGTGTATAAAAATGAAACCTTTTTGTCTACAGTGATTTGTATCCTGCAACTTTGCTGAATTCATAGATCAGTTCTAGTAGGCTCTGGTGGAGTCTGTCGGGTTTTCGATGTAGAGTATCATGTCGTCTGCAAAAAGGGAAAGTTTAACTTTTTCTTTGCCAATTCTGATGTCTTTTATTTCCTTTTGTTGTCGGATTGCTGATGCTAGGACTTCTAGCATAATGTTAAACAACAGTGGTGAGAGTAGACATCCCTGTCTGTGTTCCTGATCTCAGGGGGAAGGCTCTCAGTTTTTCCCCATTGAGGATGATGTTAGCGGAGGGCTTCTAATAGATGGCTTTTATGATGTTTAAGTAAGTTCCTTCTATCCCGACTTTCTCGAGGGTCTTTATTAAGAAGGGATGCTGTATTGTGTCAAATGCTTTTTCTGCATCTATTGACAGGATCATATGGTTTTTATCTTTTCTTTTGTTGATGTGATGTATCACATTGATTGTTTTGCGAATGTTGAACCCGCCCTGTAACCCAGGAATGAATCCCACTTGATCGTGGTGGATAATTCTTTTTATGAGCTGTTGAATTCGATTTGCAAGTATCTTGTTGAGGATTTTTGCATCCGTATTCATCAAGGATATTGGCCTGTCGTTCTATTTTTTTTGCTGGGTCTATGTCTGGCTTGGGAATCAAAGCAATGCTGGCTTCATAAAATGAGTCCATAAGTTTTCCTTCCATTTCTATTTTTTGGAATAGCTTGAAAAAATAGGTATTAATTCTGTTTTAAATGTCTGGTAGAATTCCCCAGGGAAGCCTTCTGGCCCAGGACTCTTATTTGTTGGGAGAGTTGTGATAACTGATTTAATATAGTCACTAGTTATGGGTCTGTTCAGATATTCTATCTCTTCCTGTGTGAATTTGAGTAGTGAGCGTGTGTTCAGGAATTTGGCCATTTCTTCTAAGTTGTCTAGTTTGTTGGCACATATTTTCTCATAGTATTCCCTGATAATTGCTTGTATTTTCATTCATGATTTTGTCTATTTGGGTGCTCCCTCCTTTCTTTTTGAGAAGCCGGGCTAGAAGTGTGTCAGTATTGTTTATTTTTTCAAAACCCCACTCTTGGTTTCATTGATCTGTTCAACTCTTTTTTGGTTTCTATATTGTTCATTTCTGCCCTGATTTTTAGTATTTCTCTTCTCCTGCTGGGTTTGGGGTGCTCCTGTTGCTCTACTTCTAGTTCCTTTCGGTGCGCTGTTAGATTTTGTACTTGTGCTTTTTCTAATTTCTTGAAATAGGCCTGGAGTGCAATATACTTTCCTCTTAGTACTGCCTTTGCCGCATCCCATAGAATTTGGATTGTTGTATTTTCATTTTCATGCGTTTCCATATATTTTTAATTTCTTCTCTAATTGTCTGATTGGCCCATTCATTCTTTAGTAGGGTGTTCTTTAACCTCCATGTTTTTGGAGGTTTTCCAGGCTTCTTCCTGTGGTTGAGCTCAAGTTTCATAGTATTGTGATCTGAAAGTGTGCATGGTATGATCTCAATTCTTTTGTATTTATTGAGGGCTGCTTTATGCCCCAGTATGTGATCTTGGAGAATGTGCCGTACGCACTTGAGAAGAAAGTGAATTCTATGGCCTCAGGATGTAGAGTTCTAAATATGTCTGTCAGATCCATCTGGCCCAATGTGTCATTCAAGTCCATTGTTTCTTTAGTGATTTTCTGTCTAGTTGATCTATCCCTTGCTGTAAGTGGAATATTAAAGTCCCTGCTATTAGCACATTCTTATCCATAAGATTGTTTCTGTTTGTGATGAATTGTTTTATATATTTAGGTGCTTCCATATTCCCTGTGTAGACATTTATAATTGTTAGCTCTTCCTGGTGGATAGACTTTGTAATTATTATATAATACCCTTCTTCCTCCCTTGTTACTGCCTTTACTTTAAAGTCCAGTTTGTCTGATATAAGTATAGCTACTCCAGCTTTCTTTTGACTTCCAGTAGCATGATATACATTTCTCCATCCTCTTACTTTCAATCTGAAGGTGTCCTCAGGTTTAAAATGAGTTTCTTGTAGACAGCACATAGATGGATTTTGGTTTTTTTATCCATTCTGCTACCCTGTGTCTTTTGATTGGAGCATTCAGCCCATTTACATTCAGTGTTATTATTGAAAAATATGGGTTTAGAGTCACCGTGTCCTTTGTGGGATTCATGCTTGTGGTGGTGTCTCTGGTTTCTTGCGTTCCTTGCAACATTTCCCTCAGAGAGTCCCCCTCAGGATTTCTTGTAGGGCTGGGTTAGTGGTGACAAATTCTTTCAATTTTTGTTTATTTGGAAAGACTTTTATCTCTCCTTCTATTCTGAATGACAGGCCTGCTGGATAGAGGATTCTTGGCTGCATATTTTTTTCTGTTCATCACACTGAAGATTTCCTGCCATTGCTTTCTGGCCTGCCAAGTTTCAGTAGATAGTTCTGTAACCACTCTCATAGGTTTCCCTTTGTATGTTAGGGCCCTTTTATATGTAACTGCTTTCAAAATTCTCTCTTTGTCCTTATATTTTGCCAGTTTCACTATGATATATAGTGCAGAAGATCGATTCAAATTACATCTTAAGGGAGTTCTGTGTGCCTCTTGGATTTCAAGGCCTGTTTCCTTCCCCAGATTGGGGAAGTTCTCTACCATAATTTGTTCAAGGACTCCTTCAGCACCTTTCCCTCTCTCTTCCTCTTCTGGAATTCCTGTGAAACGGATATTGTTCTGTTTGTATCACTGAGCTTTTGAACTCTCCTTTCGTGTTCCTAGATCAGTATATCTCTTTTTTTCTACAATTGTGTCTTCTCAATCACTTGTTCTCCTTTCTGCCTCTTCAATCCATGCATTGGATGCCTCCATTTTATTATGTATCTCACTGATAGCATTTTTTAATTCATCACAACTATTTTTAAGCTCCATAGTCTTTGTGGCAATAGGTTCTCTGATGTCTTCCATGCCTTTTCAAGCCCAGCGATTAATTTTATGAGTATTGTTCTAAATTCTTGTTCACTTATGTTGATATATCTGTTTTGAGCAGTTCTTTAGCTGTCATTTCTTCCTGGAATTTCTTTGGAGGAGAGTTCTTCTGTTTCGTCATTTTGGTTACCTTTGTATCTCTTGTTAATTTTAAAAGCTTGTTATCCACTCTGCTCCGTACTGCTGCTATATTAATTAGGGCTCTTTTACTGTCCAGGGCCTGTCCATTCAGGGCGTGTTCTTTGAAGGGTGTCTCTTGGTTTTTCTTGTCGAGACTTTGGTTATTTTATTTCTCTGCTTGTAGTGGTATTTGGGACTCTCCACTATGTGTAC